CCCCCCCCCCCCCCCCCCCACCCCGTAAAAAGCGTAAGCAAATAAATAATATGAACAGATTTGTTCCTTGAATGTCCTTTACATTCACCCACTGACCCGATTGCACAAAAAATAAAGAGCGGGAATCGGGTTGGATTTCCCCCCTCCCCTGCAACTGTGGGGGGCTCAAAAAACCCCTAACCCGCCCCCTCCCCACCTCACCCATTCCACAGACTTTCCGTGACTAACAGCTAATCCAATGAACCCGATGGTCTGCAGAGCAGCCTGGAGTCCACTAGGGGGCGCTCGGGGTCCTGGCAGGTGGAGCTGCAGTGTGTGCTTGGGTGGGGCCGCTGTCAGACCAAGCTGAGCAGAGAGCGGGGGGATTCTCCACATCCAGACAGACGTCTGACTTCCACATTCTTTACTGTCTCCTCCCGCACGTTTGAACTCTTATTAAATTGTCATGCAGACTAGACTCAAACTAGACTCAGACTAGACTCAGACTAGCTCAGTTTATTGGACCAAAGTAATTCTCGACCTTATTTAAAAATCTAACTAGTAAACAATAGTCCTTGGAAGGCTAAACCTGTATAACGGAGCTGGATTCAGTTTGTTTGTTTGATTGGAGCCACGATGGTGTAAGTCTGTTATACTGTAACATGATCTCTGTGGCAGAAAGCAAACACCTCGTCGTGTGTTTGTATGCCTGTGATATACAGCAAGTGTCTTTGTTGTCATGGCTACAGCACATAGCAAAGGTTACCCCCCATGGCGTTTCAGTAATCCTTCAATAATCCTTTCGGTGCTGTCCAAACTGTCTCAGACACTCCGCAGTGTGTCGCACCAAAAATTTCTGCAGCACCAAATTTTTCTGAATTCTCCCTTAATGGAGTCCTGATGGACTTGCTAGCGCCCCCCAGTGGCTGCCCCTTGCTAGGATTCTGTCAACGATGGCAACCCTCACTGGTTGAATCTCCATCCCTTTAACCGAAACGCACCTTTGTATCTCCATCCCTTTAACCGAAACGCACCTTTGTATCTCCATCCCTTTAACCGAAACGCACCT